AAAAGGTTCATTAGCCACTGAAAGTCCAACGCTGTAGCAGAAGTGAATTCTTTTCAAGCTTATATGCCTTCTTCAAGCAATCAGAGAGTGTTAGTTTTTTATCAAGACAAGAATAAATGGTAGTATCATCAATGAACAATGTCACAATAGATGTGAGAGTTTCTGGAAGACCATAATATAAAATAAGAGTATAGTGCCAAGGATAGAACCTTAAGGAACCACTGAAATCACAGGAAATGAAGAAAAGTGCTGTCTGTCGGAAAACAATTTTTATACGATTGGTAAGAAAGAATTTAATAATCTTAAAGATGTTGTCTGATAAACTATAAGAAGATGACCTTTCAAAAAGACAAGGATGCCAAACTTTATTTACAGGCTTTAGTAATATTGAGCGCTATACCCTTAGCCTCTCTACATCTATATAATGCACAATAAAACTTATTGTTATTACCGTTAACAAATCAGCAGTAGAACAGTAGAATATTGAAATCCATTTTGATAATCAGAAAATAAGTTATTAGATTTAAGATGTGAGATTAATTGTTAATTAAAGAATCAAATGACTTGCTTATGACAGTAAGACTAATATGAAGACTAATTGAATGATAGTTAAACAAGTCAGAATTTTTTAAAATAGGGATAAAAGATGCTGGTTTCCATTAGGCTAGAAAACAAGACTCTGATAAGCACTATTATGTTATTATGTTATATATGTTACTTATATATGTTAAAAAACTGTGATTATACAGACAACAGCTTTGGAGAAGACTTCTGCAACACTACAACAGGTATAAAAGGGATTTAGGTTCTGCAAGACTTTACCAGGTATAGACCATGGAGAAGATTGAGGCTTGACTTGGGGATAGAATAAAAGATTCATTGCCAACCTGAATCCAAGAGGTTTCATAAGAAGCACATTTGTTGGCAGGAAGAGGAAAGATTTCTACCCAAGGACCATCATAAAAAAAACATGGAAAGAGTACTAGTCAGCTTTAAGTTGGCTGTACAATGATTTCATCATCAGAGTCCCCCTATCATTGTACCTCTAGCTTTAAGCTTGAGGTACAATGATAGGGGGATTTTGATGATGAAGAAGAATAAGATAACATTGTTTGGCACTTTCAAACTCATCAGTATATTTCCAGGCATCTACCACTTCAGATATACCTAAGGCACCTTCGTCATCACCTTAGAAATTCGTGTAAATTCCAATAACATCTGGAAACCTAGATCTTATTGCTTAAACAACACATGCTGGTAGATTATACCTTTCGATTAGCAATCTTCCATTATATCAACCACTATCATTGTTGATTCTTTCGATTAGCAATACTTCTATGTATATCAGCCACTATCATTGTTGTTTTCAACAACAATGATAGTGGCTGAAAGATAAAGAGAAAAGACTTGGTCAATTTTGATTAGAAAAAACATTGAGAAGAGTGCAGTGTTAAGATAAAGAAAAGCAATATACAACAAAGAAAAAGGTGATAAAATAATTGGTTCTAAATGAAAACCGATAAAAAAATAGTTTGTGGATTCAAAACTATTTTGCCTACAAATGAGTTAACTTTTACGAATGTAAATGCTCAAACCAAGCATGCGACAATTGCAGTCTTTACAAATTAAAGGAAGATAAGATATACTACTACTATAGTATATATTGATAACAAATTATTACTTGCTTTTTATACCTGTACTTTAAATATACTAAATATATATTAAAAAAATTAGAATGAAACAAAAAAAGATTGCTGCTCCATGCCAAACCTGATGTAGCAGAACTTTTCTTTTTATAGCAGCAAGCTATAAGATAGTCTATACATATACAGAAGCCCTGTTCATTCACATTCATGTATATGTAAAACATCAATCTAACTTGAGCTTCTACTATTAGTTTCTTCATTAACTTTCTTCATGATCTTTTATTATATTCATTCATAGAGAGCTTTTTTTATTAGCACCATCATTGAAACTCATTATTATTTATTAGCAGGATTGTCAGGAAGTTTGTTGTTTTTTATTAACTCATCAAAACTCATCATCATCATCATCATCATCATCATCATCATCATCATCATCATCATCATCATCATCATCATCATCATCATCATCATCATCATCATCATCATCATCATCATCATCATCATCATCATTATCATCATCATCATCATCATCATCATCATCATCATCATCATCATCATCATCATCATCATCATTTAAAACATAACATAATTTAAAATATCATCATCAACATAATTTAAAACTGCTTTAAACTGTTTGCAAACATTTTTCTCTTTTTTATGCAAATAACTTTTCTTCAAACTCATCCCTTAGGCCTAATGATCATACTTTTCATGTTGGAAAACAAGCCAATTTACTATTAGAAAAAACCACTGTTAGAAATAACACCTGCATCTTTTGCAATTTTTTCTGACAAAACTGTATTATGCCTTGTGGTCAGGACAATATTCCAATCACAATCTTACAAAAGTATTTTTATGAACTCTTTAAACTATTTGACAAATACTTAAATAAATCTTGCTGGAAAATAGCATCTGAGGTTCAAGTTTTTAAAAATTCTAGATATCACTCAGATCCCTATTTATATATCATCCAATCAATCTTATTTGTAAGCAAAGTTTTAATTAACTTTTAACATCTTAAAAATTAACATCTGAAACTCTCTAAAAATTCATCTTACTCTTAATATTCAATATGTATCAAACGTGCATCAAATGTGTATCAAATGGAAACAATTAGGCAAGGACTATTGCTCCTGACATAAAATTACTATTTATTAGTATTAAAGTTTTCCTTGATGGATCAAACTCTTATTCATTTTAAAAAAATTTTGGGGTTCCACCCTTAGTCCTGTGTAGTTTCTCATTTGTTTTAATGATCTTTGTGCTTTCTTTGCTTATGACGCAACAATATACCTTGACAAAAGGTCATCTCGTTTTGATTACTTAGAAGAAGTCTACAAAGAGCCAATCTTACATTTAATTTGTCTTCTGTGACAACCATGTTGTGATAATTTTTCAAATGATCACAACATGGTTAATTACTGCTAACTACCACAATATTGTTTATACTCCTAAAATGATAAATAGCAATACGCTTACTGAGTCCCCAACTTTACGTTTTTTTATATTATGTTTTACTGCTGACCTTTCCTGGGAACAAAATTTATGATTGCAAAGTTACCTAAAGTTGGTAATCTTTATTGGGCTTGTCATTTTCTTCCTCCTCAGCCCTTTTCCTCTTACATCTTTTTTCTTCCTTCTTTCCTTTTCATTTCATCCTCTACTTCAACAAATTTCTGATTTAATCATATTTGTGCTAGATTTTGTAATAAAGTTCTCTCTTTTAGACAAGGTCAGAATTAGCTTTGTAAATGTTGTTTGACCTGCTATAGTCAAAAGCATTTTTCCCATCCTTGTAAGCTTGCATCTCTTTCTCTTTTCAACAAATAATGCAATGGTTGGTACTCAAGTCAGTTAAATTTTAATTCAGCATTAACAGTTTTATCTTTTTTCATAGTAATACATATGAGCAGAAAGATATGAAAAATCCGCCTTGTAATATATTTTTCAATGACTTCAATAAAGTGCATATTTTTATCTGCCATTGTTTTTATCAACTTCTTTCCACCTCAAATTTATTTAATTTTTTTAATAATAAGCTTCTCTTATGTGCATTTTTTTTAAAGAAATGCATTTATTCAAGCATTTTTATTTTATTAGCACTCTCGAGATATAAGATGAAGTTTTGAACTTTTTATCTCTCTGTAAATACTTTAACTTTCGAGCAAATGAACTGAGAATCAATTTTTACCTTTGTATTCATAGTTGATACAAAGAATTTTTTTTTTGTTTTCTCAAAAGGTTTCAGTCTTCAACTTAAGATTTTTTTTTTGATACTAAAGTAATCAAACTTATTTATAATATTGATTACCATAGATTCTAGTACATTAGAAAATTTAAAAATCATGCAACATGAAGTGAATAAATTTTCTCGGAAAATTTTCAAACTTTTACACTTTAATTCTGCACTTTAATTTGCTTTTGCATAATTTTGCAAATCTGAGCCTTCTTAGCAGGTGGACAAATCATAACACCGCACAAACCTTTAACTCAAGTCTGTTGACAAGTTGATTTACATCTAGTTTAACTTCAATCAGGTAAAACTAATTAAAATGAAAAAGAAAATCTCTTTACATAAAATAAATCTTAATAATTCAATTGGTCAGTTTATTTTTTTAAATACTATTTTTAAATTTCTACGACCAAAAGTCAAAAGTTAGTTGTAATCTCTTGATAAGATTTTAATAAGTTTATTTCACAATAAGTTGTTAAAACACTTTTTTAATATGACATAACCTTTTTTTTCATTCTTATTAAAACAGTTTAAAACCATAAAATGGCACCTCATACCTGATAGCTTCTTTGGCTAAATGACTCATTGAATTATTCAACCAAAGAAGCTACAGCAGCTACTAATAAATCCATACAGTTTTTTCTAAAAAAGAAAAAAAATAGAAAAAAAAGATTGCTGCCCTAATCCAAATCTTTAGTTGATGTTTCACTTTGTTGCATATTCTACATAGATAATCAGTCAATGTATGTACTAAAGCTCTCACAACTGCCTATTTCTGTATGACATCATATTACTTAGCTAAATACGTAATATTATATAGATACATTATATGTATAAATATATGTATGTATGTATGTATGTATGTATGTATGTATGTATGTATGTATGTATGTATGTATGTATGTATGTATGTATGTATGTATGTATGTATGTATGTATGTATGTATGTATGCATGTATGTATGTATGTATGTATGTATGTATATATGTATGTATGCAACCCTCTGAACTGGGTCAGCATTTGGTAACGCAGCTAATAGTCAATCTTTTGGTGTGTTAGATATATATTAATACAAATATAATAAAAAATCTTACCTTTACAAAAAGATTGCTAAATTCAGCATAGGCTTCATATTTGCCAATTACTTTTATCAAAATTCTAATTTGATAATCATGGCTTTCTTCACCAGGTCCTAATATAAAATTAACTAAACTAGGTTGATAAACAGATCCACCATTTAATAAAGGGTAATTGATGGTTGTTGTACTGCTCATATTCATGTTTTGGGACAGACCATTATCATAATAAAACCTGTAGCTCAGCAATCCATCTGAGTCACTCCAATCATAGCAAAAAAGTGTAAATTTTGTTTCTAGAGCATAACCTTCAGTTGGACTAAAAGAAAGTGAAAGAAATATTTACTAATTGATGATTAAACAATGCAAAAAAATAAAACAATTCAAAAGAAATTTTTTTTTGTTAAATATTATAGTTATTAAGGTACACCACGAAGTATTTAAACTTCAGAATAGCACCACGAAGTACTTCAGACCTCTTGGCTCTTGAGCCAATTCATTTATATTCTTTTTAAGACACAAACTTACTATCAATTAAAAAAAAAGGAAACATTAAATAGAATAAACCAGAATTAATAGACCAAAATAGAATATATACAAAGAAAAACAAGTTTTTAGGTTTATTGCAACAAATATATATATATATATATATATATATTATATATATATATATATATATATATATATATATATATATATATATATATATATATATATGTATATATATATATCTATATATATGTATATATATATATATATATTTATATATATATATATATATATATATATATATATATATATATATATATATATATATATATATATATTTACAGAGTGTTAACCAGAATAAATTTGATACAGCGTTTTGACAGTATTTGGTAATTTGTCAAAATATTTTCCAATCATAAACAAGGTTTTTGAATCTTTAATTAACAAACACTTAATCTCTCATCTTGAATCTCATAACCTATTTTCTGATGATCAATATGGATTTCGATCTTCTCGTTCTACGGCTAATTTACTAACAGTAATAACTGATATGTTTTATTGTGCATTAGATAAAGGTGGAGAGGTTAAGGTTGTTGCTCTTGACATTTCTAAAGCGATTGATAAAGTTTGACATGCTGGTCTTCTCCATAAGCTTTCTTCTTATGGTTTAACTGGAAACATCTTTAAGATTATTGAATCCTTTCTTTCCAATCGTAGTATAAATGTTGTCCTTGATGGACATCACTCTTCTTCTTATTTTGTAACCTCAGGGGTTCTCAAGGTTTAATCCTTGGCCTTATACTCTTTTTAATTTACATTAACGATCTTCCAGATATTCTCACATCTAAGGTGGCATTGTTCGCTGATGATACTACCATTTATTTTTGTCACGATAAGAAGCCAACTCCCTCTGATTGCTTGCAGGGGGCATTTGACCTTGAAAAAGATCTCATTTCTGCTACAGCATGGGGCTCACAGTGGCTGGTGAACTTTAATTCAGATAAAACTCAATTTTTTTTAGACAATTGCTATCGCAATAATTTAGACCTTCCTATATTTATGAACAGTAATGTACTCGATGAGTCATCTACCCTTCATCTTCTAGGATTAACTCTCACTTCTGATCTTTCTTGGAAACATTATATCAAATCCGTTGCAAAATTAGCATTTGCTAAACAAATGTTGTTTAATTATAAAAGAATCTATTATAATTGCGATCAATATTCTTTTATAATTAAACAACAAATGTTGTTTAATTGTAAAAGAATATTGATCGCAACTGATTGCATGCTATCGTGGCAATGAAGATAACCAAAAATTATTTTCTTTCAAATATTTAAAATTGTTTTTACATTTTAAATTCAAGCAAGCAGTGAATCTAGTTTTCTTGTTTTTTAAATTTTTAGTACCAGTTTGTTGTAATAAAAAAACCATTCTTGTTATTAAACGAATTTAATTTACACTTTAAAAAAGCAAGCAGTAAAGTATATATCAAAATTTCGAAAAGTATCTGACGTAGGTGGCTTCTCATTATTTTTGTTGAGTAAGCACATGTACTACTTGAAGTAGAGTTTGCAGTAAGGTAATAATGACTATTTTTGCAGTTAGGCAATTGACTTTTTAGCCAAAATAGCAAAATTTTTAAAGAAATAGTATTTGTGCGTGTTAAACCAAACAAGTTTGTTATTTTTTTAAATTGTACTCTATTTTAAGCTAACTTTTTTTATATAAAATATGCTGTTCTTAAAACACATTGCGAAGAACTATTTTCAAATTTTGAGAAATGAACTTTAAAAACAAGTTGCAGAGAAAATCCCTAAAATCACTATTTTCAAGAAGTTTTTTCCAAGTGATATTTTTGCAGTAATGCAATCGCGTAGTTATAACAATAACGGCGATTTTATTTCAAGTTTTACACAATAATTAAATTAGAATTTTTTATGCTATTTTTCTATTAGTTTTTAATAATAATTAATTTTCAATAATTTTTAGAATTATTATTTAACTTTAAATAGGCGAACTATATTTGGAGAACGGGATTTTTTCACCTTTAAATTGGGAATTTTAATTTTATGAGCGTTTGGGAAAACCGCGTTTGAAGGGGCCCCACAGGACTAGTTTACACCCTGATTTATATATATATGTATATATATATATATATATATATATATATATATATATATATATATATATATATTTATATATATATATATATATATATATATTTGTAGTCATTTTGAAGGAATTTTTGACAACGAAGTACATATCCAGCGAAAGTTGGAGCAAATATGATAGCACTTTTTCAAAATCTTTTTAAGATAAATCAAATGACATTTAAGTCCCCCTCAAGATTAAAGTTGCTAAGAAATTGTACTTCAAAAAAAAGAAAAATAGGGTATGTTCAGGGTGTTTGAGGGGGATTTAAATGAAAAAAAATATTTACATTTTATTTTGTTTTTGTAGTCTATATTTTCATTTTTAATCTTATCATGTATTTTACATATTCTTGGTTAAAACGATATTAACGAAAGGAATAAATGAAAATTTTATGTTACACAAAAGGCTATGAAAATCAGCAACGATAAAAAAGTTCTTTTAAAATAATGCAAAAGAAAATGTGCTGAAGATCCTGCACGGTATTTTTAAGTTGCTAAGAATTTTTATAAACAAAGGAGAACATGAAATTGCAATACATTATTTTATTTTTGTAAATAACACTCGTATTTACCTGATTGTTATTAATCGAATTACAATATAACTTATTTTACTAATTACAGTACAACTTTAACTAATTACAGACAATTAAATTTATTTAGATTGAATGCAAAAATGGAAAAAAAAGTGTAAAAGATATTGGGAAGAGGAAAATTTCTCAGATCAAGCAAAAGCAAACTTTTTATCATAAATGAGGCTGTAACCATACCTATTTAAAACCAGCTGTAACCATATCTATTTAAAAAAAATGTTTTGTTTTTTAAATTTTAGTTAAAAGGTAAAACATTGATTTTTTTTTTCTTGAGATCTTCAACTCTCAACTAGAACAGATATTCTTAAACACATTGCCTACAGAAGATCACTACTTCCTCATAATATCAAAATGTCAGCAATTTTATCATGCCCTCCTAACAAGATTCAGGGTTATAAGAGATGTGAAGTAGATGATTGTGAATGCATTTTAGGCTTGATTAAAAGACTTAAATGGCTTAAAGCAGGATTTCAAGTAATGTCAGATAAAAATATTATCAAGAACTTAATGAAAATGGACAAGTATTCAGAAGTATTCAGATTTGAGTAGAAATAAATACAGAGGAACAGCTAGAGACAAGATTAATTAAGGGAAGTTCATTTCATTTTTGAAAAAGCTGTTTTGTATTGGTTCTACAGATTTAAAGAACCAAATTAGAAAGGATAAAAAATGCTCAGATAAAGATAAGCACGATGATTTATTTTTTTTGGAAGACCAGGAAGGACCGAGACATTTCACTTTGGGATCAGAAGATAAAAAATTTAGCAAAACGGTTTTATGTTGTTTTTGTGGGTTAGTTTGACCTTTTATATTAAAATTTGCTAATTTAACATTCACTAATTTTAATACACATATACACTATTTTAAAACAATTTTTAGGTTTCTGAAGGTGTGAGGAAGACGGTTATAAGACTAGAAGACAAACCTCTTAAAATAGACGCAACCTCAGAACTAGACTTAAGTTTTACTGACACTAGCACTAATTCTGATTCAGAATTTGAACCCAAAGTTTGGCATCATAGAAGAGCAGATGATTGTAACATTACTGCCAAATTCCCAAAGAATATTTTTGATGGAAATATATCTATTACAGCTACAGCAAATGATATCTCCCCAATATCTTACAAAAAGTAACTGGAGCAATTCTTTAAGATTGTGGAATTGATATCACAAAATGCAAAACCAATGCTTCAACAGCAATAATGAAGATGAAAAATACTGCAGAGGATACTGCAGAAATTGCTAAATTAGATAATAAGAAGGCCATGGAAAAAAGCTGTTATCCCTGTGTAATTCATTTTGACGGAAAGATTTTGTTTCAAATGAAACAGGGAAAAAGGCTGAAGAATGAAAGATTACCTGTGCTTGTTCACATTGAGGGGGTGTCACATCTTCTTGGAGTACCTGTCTTGCTGTCTTCTTAGGGTGAAGATATGAATATAGGAATTATGAAAATACTAGAAGAATATGACCTCATTTCAAAAGTATGAGGAGGATGCTTCGGTACAACTTCAATTAATACTGGTTCTAAGAAAGGATCACTTATTAGGATTGAAAGAGAGGTAGACAAACACCTTCTCTACTAGCATGTAGGCATCATATCATTAAGCTTAGAATAGTTCATTTCTGTGAAGCAGTAATAAAAGAGAATAGCATAAGGCCTGAAAATTCCTTATTTGTAAAGTTCAAACATATGTTTGAGAACTCTAAATTTGAATAGGACAAAAATGACTTGTCGCCTTTTGATTGGAAAACCATGGAAGGATCAGTTTTGAAGAAAGTTGCAAAATTTAGATTACTGTGAGACAAAAAGAGTTGGCTGAACTAACCATGCAGCATTTATCCCCTTCTGCACATTTCAATTTAAAGAAAACTGGAGCTGCTCATCATGCTAGGTTTTTTAGCAAGAGTTATACTACCTTGAACATCAGCTTTTGTGCAAGCAACTGACATTTGTGCAAGAAAATAACATTCTATGTGAAGATTTGAAACTCATCTGTGAGTTCATAGTATGTTTTTACACAAGGTGGTACCTTCAAGCACATAAAGCAGTTCACTCTCTTATACAGTTCAATTTTCTTATACTCATTCATCTTTCAGATGAACGAGTATAAGAAAATTTGCTCCAATCCGGAGGCAGATAACACTATCCTAACATCTCTTTATAAGCATACATGGTATCTTAATTCAACAATTGTTCCCTTGGCTTTTTACAGATGCTTTGCTTTCCTTTCAAATGTCAGATCCAGACATTACAGGTTCTTTGCTTTCCTTCCAAATGTCAGATCGAGATTTTTTTAAACATAGAAGCAAAGATCGAATAGATAAGATTAATATCATAAATAATATGAAGGTATCAACCCTTTCTGTTTTGGTTAATGAGTTTTCATATCTAATTTTTTCAATGATAGGGTTGAATAATCAGAGAGTAAGAGACTGGTTGTCACTTTCACCCCAATATTGGCACACCCAGTCCTCGTTTAAGAACTTTGAAAACTTTGCCAAAATATTGTTGTCAATGATCATTCTGAAAAAGCAATGATGCAGCAGTTTGTGCAAAGATACAAAAATGAAGGTGACAAGCAGAACAGAGTTTTATCTGTCAACAAAGTAAGGTCAATTTTCGAGGTTTTTGGTGTGAGAAAAAGTAATATATATAAAAAAAAACTACCAGAAAGTCTGATGCCACTCTTTAAACTAAAGAAAAAGAAATAGTAGACTTGAAAATTGTTGTTCATTTTAAAATACTTATTTCAATTAATGCATAATTTTTGTCTTGATAGTGTTTGCAAAGATTTTTATTAAATAGTAAATTACTTATTTAGTTCAAAATAGTTTTTTTTGTTGTTGTTGATTTAGGTGGAAATTGAAATCTCTTCAGAACACAGAGACTACTCAAGATTCTTGTGGTATGAGAGAATATCTAATAAAGAAGTCAAATTAATTACAAGATTTCTTATAGTTGTTTTTAGTTTAACTAGCAGTCCTTTTCTTTTGCACTTTCAAACACCATCTTAATAAGTAGATGAAAAATTATAAAAAAAATTATTGAAAGGTCAATAGATGATCTCTATTTTGATGACAATTTTAGAAGAAAAAATATTTTATGAAAAATCCAAAAGTATATTTTTAGATGCAGGGTTTGAATTTAGAAAGTGGATAGTAAATGATCAGGAATTACAAATTTTTTTTATATAAAGGAAAAAATTAAAAATTAAAACTCATAATGCAATCTAAAAGTTTGATGAACTAAATATTTTGAAAGTGAAATTGTGAAAAACAATAATAATTTTATGAAAATTTTAGGAATTGAAAGATATACAAATTGAAAGATGAATTTGTTTTTGAATCTAAAGATTTTGTTAAAAATGAAAGAATGCTTAAACTGCTAAAAGAAATATTCTAAAGATGGCAGCATCTTTCTTTTATCCCCTAAATTTCTTAACACCAATAATATCAAGAGTAAAAACTTTTTTACCAAGTAATTTGAAGAGATAAAAGTGGATGGGATGAAGTAGTAGAAGAAGTAATAGAATTAGCTAGGACAGAATTTTTAAAAGACCTTGAGTTATTGAGTTTTGTTAGTATTTCAAGATTTGCGTTTGTGAGAGTTAATGAGAGTAGTAAACAAGTTCAGTTGCATGAATTCTGCAACATTTTTAACTTAATTTATTGTGCAGTTATATATGCAGTTATATATCTAGTTATATATTTGGAGTGAATAGAAAGTTTTTAGTTTTAAAATCACGTGTTTCGCCCTTAAAAGAATTAAGTTAACCTAGACTAGAGCTATTAGGTTGTGTGTTACTAAGCAGACTTGTTGAGGACTTTTGAGTGGAATAGTGCAATTTGAAGATATAAAATGCTGGTATGACTCAGAGGTGACATTGGATTAAGGGTAAGAAGAGAAGGTGGAGAATAGAGTGATTACCATTTGAACAGTTGTTGATAGAGAAAAACGGAATCACATTAATGGAGAGTTGAACCCAGCTGATTTTCCTACTTGCATAGGTAGTTTTGTTGATTTAGGACATTAATTGAAAGGGTTTTTAATATTACATGGCAAAGAAAGTTTGTTCACGATATTAATCATTTTTAACTGTCATGAAAAAGTTTTACAACATGGAATTGAATTGACGTTGATTAAAGTACGTTCCCAATTCTGGATAATAAAAGGAAGATTAACAACAAAAAGTTATCAGACAATGCGTAACAAGAACTTCCAACAATGAACATTGTTACCACCTAGCAGCCTGGATTTACTTGACTTTTAAGTTAATAATTTATATTCATTTCAATCAACTGGTTTGGATAACACCTGACATGAAAATTTCGGCTTTCTAAAAGCTTTTAGGTGTTTTGAAGCGCAAAAAAGTTTTTTTGATCTTATTATTTCCAATAATTTTAAAACCTTTATATCTAAGCAAGTCAAAATATTTATAATAAAAAATGGTGTGCACCAGAAATTTATTTGCCAGCTTCCCCCAAGTGAGGTGGTTTTTACAAAAGCTTAAATAGATCTATTAAGATTACAATGAAGAAAACAATTGGAAAGGTTTTTTTTATCTTACAAAGAACTAGAAACAATACTATGTGAAATCGAATCCATGATAAACAGTTATCTACTATTTAACATAAGCAAAGATGATACTGAAGAAGCGTTAACACCATACCATTTATTGTTTGGAAAAAATATTCATAATAAATCAAATGGAATTTTTATACTATCTGAAGATATTTCAAAAAGAACTATATTTATAAAAACAGTAACATTTAACTTTTGAAAAAGATTTACAACTTTCTTATCTTAATGAACTGAAACAACACCATTTGTACATTGAAAATAAAACTTCATATACCAAACAGCTAATAATAAATGATTTAGTTCTTACAGTAGATGATACCAAGTTCCCTAGAAGTCAATGACGTATGGAAAAAGTTTTTGAACTTATTAGAAGAACTGATGGAAAAGTAAGAGGTGCACGTTCACAAGTTTTATCTAAAGAACGAGTTAGATTAACATGTTTACAAATCAAACAAAATGAGTGAAAATAAAAATAGTATATCAACCGAAGATGAACCAGGTGTGATTGCTACTATCAAAAAGTGCAGGTCAATTTGAAAGGGCCTGAACAGACAGGCATCAACCTCAGGCAAATATTTACAGCATTTAAAAGAGTTATAATATTAGTTGACCAAGTCAACATAGGGTGAATGTTAAAAGTGATATACTGTATATGACTTTTTGTTATTTTATTACTGGTTATCTGGACTTTCTTGATTGTAAAATTTTTGATTGTTAAGGTTTTGTGACTGTTATATTTTATTGTTAACACAATGTTACAAGGAAGAAAGCAACTAAGCTAAAACACTCCTTGATTATTACCTTGAAAACTAATTAAAAAAATTATTTTCAATGCGAATATGTAGTTTTAGGTTCCAATTGCGGTGAAAAATATTTCATTGGTTAATTTATATGATTTATTTTAAATGCAGGTTTTATGTGTAATAGTAATCATCTTACTAATAATTTTAATTTAATAACTTAAAAATTTTATTACTATCAATTATTTTTTCATTGATGAGATAGCTATAAACTGTGGCTATTGCTATATCTTTGAAAATTGGTGCATTTGAGTCTACATTAATCAACTGACTTAAATTGGAGTAGCAGCAGTGATGTGTAAATACATCAACTGAGTTTATGTTTGGCTTGGCACTTCCTTAATCAAAAAAAAGGACTAGATTTAAAAAGAAAAAAAAATATGTTGCATCACATTGGATGCCCTCCTTCCTCTGTAAAAAATCATCACAAAATCACAAACCCTCCTCCCTATTGCATGATTTAATTTGTGGACAAGCTCCTAGCCTAATTAGTCATTTATAAAAAAACCATAAATGAGATTCAGAAAAATTGATTAATCTCTTAGCCTACAAGAATAAACTATATATTTTCTACATAATAACAGAAATCATTTCATAGTTAAAAAATAAAAATTAAGAAATCTACCTATTTTTTATTAAGAAATCTACCTATTTTACAAAATATAATATGCAAATTAAAAACAAATTTTTGCTCACTTAATATTACAAAATCCTGGAGTTGGTAAAGAGCATGTTGACTTTTTAAATTCAAATTTTACTCTTTTTAGGGAGTCAGCAAAGCCAACCATTAAACTAAATGTATAATGTTTTGATTCTAAAAGAACATCTTTATTAATTACAATACTTGGGTTGAAAAAACCTGTACTTGTAGCATTTAAAAACTTTGTAATTTCAGATGGAATATTATTAGTTTCATCTGTTATACTCCACTCCGCCATTAATCTGAAAACAAAATCTTTAAAAATTTAATAAAAAATTTAAAAATTCTACCTTTATTTTTATTATTAGATATTTTACTAACCTCCTAGAACCACAATTTTTACAGTCAAATGAATATACCACACGCTCTTTAATGTTTAGTTTTGCATTGCAGTTGGAAATGCACCTTGAGCATTTTAAAATAATTTCATATCAGAAAAAAAAAAATAGAGTAATACAATAATGATAGTTATATAAATTTATATGATAAATTTATGTTTATACATGTTTTATGTTAACACTTTTTTTTTTATATACATATTATTTTTTTGATTAACTATTAAATATTTTACAAAAATATGTATAGAAGTATAACTAACAAAGTATGACGTTTACTTTAAACATAAATATTCATATTTAATCAAAATAAAACATAATTATAAACATAATTAATGATAGTTAATTAAATAAATATAATCAATACAAATAACATAAATGTAAATACATAAAACATAACTATTATAACAAAATAGTAAATTTATAATAAATATAATTAGTCATAATTAATCAAAAGAAAACATAATTGTAAACATAATTAATCATACATCACAGTAACAGTGGGAAGATCTTTACTGACAAAAAAAAGTTCTTGAGTGAAACAACTTGTCTTGTTTATTTTATTTAAATCTACATCTGTTCCAGCAAACTTTGTTCCACAAACTTCAAAATGATAACTCATCCCTTCTAAAAATTGTTGTGTACTATAACTTATATATGGGCTAAAAAAAGGGATACTAATCCAGGTCGGACTAAAACAAGTGTTACTTTGATATGTCAAATTTAAAAGAGTAAATTTCTCCATAACATCTTGAGCATATGAAAAATTTGCAGCAACTTTACATCTCCATTCAAAAGTAATATTTTGTATCCCAATGGTTGGATCATCTGGATCGTAACTAGACATTGCACTTAATGTAAAATTTTGGTAAAAACTATTATTTCCATTTACTATTTTGTATGCAATAGAATTTAAAAATCCATTCTCAATATCAACATACAATGGTGAAAGCATCACATTTAAGTATGCAGCATATTCATTAACATTTCCACCATAGTTATATATCATTGAAAATACATAAAGACCAATGTCAAGTGATTTTTTCATGATTCTAAAAATAACACTTTGCTGAGATTGGGTTGCTATAGTTACAACTTGGTTTGTTATAGCTTTTTCAGAATAACTTGTAAGGTTCCATTGAAAACTGTAATCTTCTTGTTTACATAAAGGATTACTATTTTCCACATAAGCAGTTAAATCAACCCCAACACTCCAAATCACAGCCATTGGATTTGATAGAGTTCCATAATAAAAACTAACTTCTGGTGCAGAACAGTTTTTTACCTGTATTACAAACAAGTAGCTCAAGGTCTGAAAATAGCTCTTAGACGTTACTGAAACATTGTATTTATTTTCTTTTGTATAGATATGCTGAGCATGAAAAGAAATAGGATTAAAGTTGATTGTCTGATCATTAATTGTAAAAGTACCATCTCCCCAATCAATTGAATATAGCAAATATGATCCTCTATATTGATGTATGTTTAGTTTTAAACTTTTGTTGACTGATAATAGAACATGTCCATTTACTGGAATAATAGGTATTGCTTTCACATTCAATGGAGACATTAGGCAAAAAACTGTTACATTTGTCGAATTTGATAAAAGTGCATTAGAAATTTTTAACCCATATGCAAAACTATTTGCAGCAAAAGCAGTAATTGTAAAGTTTTTGCAATCAGAATACCTAAAAATAAGAAATTTAAATTCTTTACAAAGCCAATACAATATTTTCTTATAATCTTGCATATGGTACATACTTTTACTTTATTCACCTCCCTGAGATTATAGGGGGCACTGCAGTGGAGAAGCAGTTTTTTTTTCTTAGTTATTATCTATTTTTACTTAAATGTTGATAAAAACAATAAATTGTAAAAGGTTGGTTTAATCATTTTTATGTAAATGAAGACAGAGTGTAACTTTATATATATTATAAAACAATTTACCTATGCAAAACTGTGTATGTGAAACCGCTTATATCATTAGCATCTACATTTTCTATATGAAACAGTGGGGTACCATCACCGAAGTCAATTGTCAAATTTACATTACTACCATTGTATACTGTTACATTTAATATAAAAGTATGATCTTGTAGTAAATTTCTTTCAACAAACAAAATTAGACCATTTATTTCAGACAAAACAGAAATATTAATAGATGTATTAAGAGAGCTCAACCTGTTGGCTGCTGTCAAATATACAGTGAAGTCACCTAAAACAATATAAATTGGTTAACAATAAAGAAAAAAACAATATAAAGAATTATTATCTAAGGATTTAACAAAATACATGAGATAATATGGTCATTAACAAGTCTATATATGAGTTAAAATTTGAATAAATACTACCCCAACCATAAATTTCACTACCCCAACAATAAATCTCACTACCCCAATAACAATAAATCTCACATAATCAAAACCTTTAGTACAGTTAGCTATACCTTTACCTACAAAAAGCAGTCTATGTATGTTTAAAAAAAAATTAATAATAGATAAAGCTTATTTTCATTGTCTTAAATAACAAGTTATCTTACAGTTATTTCAGTATTGTCAAACTTTAATAGTAAAAACAGTTAATAAATGCATTGAAACCGCTGCTTGTTTTCACAATAAAAAGCTATTTCAACAACCCCAAGACATTTTTACCTCGCTTTCAACCCTATAACTTGAAAACAGAAACTTTATAGAACAAAAATGCTCTACTAAGAATAGTTGAACACAGAACTTTATAGCACCTTCTTGGTTTGCTCGCAAAGCTACCACTCTGTCATTACTTTTAAAATGCAGTTTTTTATTCTTATATAAATATTTAACACTTATCATTTATGTTGTTGACAGTTATCGTTTATTTTAAAATCTGCTTTTAATTTTTTTCTTTTAGTATCTAGTTTATAGTTCACCCATGGTTTCAAATGAAAGATTGATGCATTTGTAACATTTATAAAAAATCTTGACCTATGGTTACTAAAAGTTAATCAAAAAGTTGACCAGCTAGTTGATTCTCTGATTGAGAAAGATAAAATTACCGATGAATTAAAAAAAATAATTGACAAACTTGAAATAATTGAAGGCAAAAACCAAATACAAGATGTCAACATGAATACTCCTAATGTACAGACGTTATACAGCTAAATGGTATCAGGCAATAAGAACAGCATAACAAAAGAATTTCAAGCATCTATTGTTGTAGCAGTAACTAAAAATAATGAAGAAAAAATAAACCGTGAGACCAACATTATAATAAGTGGAATTATTCATGTACAATTTAAATAGAACAATTGATGAAGAAGCAACCCTTTTATTTTTAAACAGCCTTGAAATTGGCAAAGAACAAGTTAAAAAATACACGACTAATGAAAAAAAACCGAAAGAATTCACAAAAAAAATCTTAGAAAAAAAAGACAACTAAAATACACAATGACAACAATATTAGGCTAAGATATGACATTCACATAAGGGATCAACAATTGAAAAAAGTATTTATTAAAGAATGACTTTATTATGTGCCATCATTTAATTATCCAAATCAACTTATCAATAGCAATACAAGCTTAACTAGTAATTTACAATCTAAACAGTTCATAACTATTGATACCATTGAACCAAATGATCCTTTGTTTATTAAATATGAAGCTTATACAAGCGAAGGGGTTAACAATGTTTTTGATAGCAACATTCCCGCAATTTATATCTTTGATAACTTTATTCTCTCTTTAGATTTCTCAATGAACAAAATTAAATATAAACTCAATAAAGTCAAAATGTATATCAGAAATCAAACCAATACTAGATTTAAATTTGATAGATATAATAATGCTCAATAAAACTTAATGACACATATCTAACTAAAGAATTTCTTTCTAATAATTACAAGACTCTGCGTAGAGACAGAAAAGACAGCATTAAAGAAGGTGGCATTCTCATTTAAATCAAAAACAACTTGGTAATTTTTTTTTCGAATAGCAGTTTTGAGATTATTAATTTCCAAATAATGCATAACAAATAGATAAATAACTTTATATGCTGTTATAAGCCACCAAATATTAATTCTCAATGTTTTAACAACTATATAGAGAGCCTAATATTAAATCTCAACATAACGAACTTATTGATAAAATGAACCAAAATGTATTTATTGCCAGTGATCTAAATCAAGATCTTAACTCGCAATATGGAATGCAACTAAATGAGTTTCTCATGAATAACAACTTAAAAAATAATGTTTGTAAACCAACTAGTATGATTGATATTTTATTGAGTGAAAATTCAGCTAAAATAAAAACTTTCGTATTAGAAACTTTGTTTAGTAATCATTGTGCAGTCTTTGCAGAAATCAATGGTATCATTGAAGTAGTCAATTACTCAAAATTAATCAAAAGCAGGCAACTAAGTAATAAAAAAATAACTATCATATCCAATGCAATCAAGAATACCAATATACAAATCAAAATTAATGACAACTCAACTAATATGTGGAACCACATATCAATCGTATTGCCTTTAAACAAAAACTGTATTTATTTAAGAAATATCTTAATTGCAATTTCACCAAAAAAAAAATGATGAAAATACACATTAAAAATAAAGACAACAATGAATGGTTTGATCAAGAGTTAAAAGATCTGAAAAAAATTGTGCAATGATTATCATTATGATTACGTAAAAACATACAATATAACAATTTTTTAAATGTAAAACGAGAAGAAATTTTATTAAATTAAGAAACAAAAAAGTAATAAGTTATTTGAAAAATAAAGAATTTTAATAACTCCAATGACTTTTATGTCTTCTACTCAATTTTCATTAAAATTAAATTAAGCTTCAAAGATACTTCTTTTCCTGATTTTATACTTTATAATAACAAGAAAGCATACTCAAACATCGATAACTCATTATTTTTTAATAAATTCTCTAGTACATTTAAATCCAATTCCAATCATATAAAAAATGATAATGACTTTATTAACAACCACTTCAATAATCTTCAAATAACTCAAAATATTAAAAAAAAATTATTTTATTTCTCATTTTATTCTATAAATAAATATGAAATCATCGATGCAATTAAAACTTAAAAGAAAAAAGTAGCTGTGGTTATTCAGATATTCCAACAAAAATTATTAAAAAATCATGATTCAATTGCTGATCCATTAATGATTATATTCAACAAATGTTTAAAAACAGGCTGTATTCCAAGTGAATTTAAAATAGGTAGTGTTATGCCACTTTATAAACAGAAAGGTGATATTCACGATATTAATAGTTATCGAAGTATTACTATTATCAGTTTTCATCATCGATATATATGCAGAACACTACAACTATGCAATAAAATAATTTATTACAAGAAACCGATTAACTTATTTAAACAATTTCATTTTATTGACATTAATAATATCAAGTACAATACTAGAAATAAAAACTTTTTAAATTTTAAAGTATCCAACAAGCATGATGAACAGACATTTAAGACTTTTTTCAGTAATATAATTAACAAGCATTGCAATAACAACATCAAATTAAAACTTAAAAAATTTAAGGGTCTATTTTTAGTAGATAATATCAACGCAATTATAACACATACAATTATTAACAACATTAGGTTTGATGTCATCATAAACATATTAAATAACTTTATCGACTTCTACATTAGCGATAAAATTAGAAAAAAAGAAATACTAAACATTATTTAAAATTTTTAATATCCTATATATTGTATTAATAATTTTTATACTACTTGTATCTAAAAAAAACTAAATCAGATGCTAAAAGATCAAAAGCTTATAGAGCAAGAAACAAAAAAGCGCTGTTGGAAAAAGAAAGAAAGAAAAGTTATCAAAGAAGACAGTTATAAACACCAAGAAATTAATAATACAAATACGATTATAAATTAAAATTAATAAATTATGTATTTCTATCATTTTAGCACATATTGTTACATATTACATTTAACACAGATAATCTTTGAACAATTTTTTTTTAGTCAACACTAATCTCATTTAATGGAAAAATTACAGTATTTTCTGAGAAGAATCAATTATAAATGAATTTAATACCTATGGCACATTTTACTGCCCTTTATGGTCAATGTGCCATTGTTAGAGAAAAGATTTTCACTCTTTTAAAAGATAAAGTAAAAGGCTTTATCAAAAAGACTTATTCAAAAGTCTTCATATATCAAGAAAAAGACCCCTTGCCACATCACATCCACAATAGAGCATTACATTTAGCAACTCGGCTGCATTGATTGCCAGAGAGTAAGTTGTAAGACCCAAAATATTATAGAAGAATACAAACCACTTTTTATCAGACAAAAAAACAAGATACAGTTAAACTCTTTTTATATAGTTCTTTTAAAAATTATTGAGGAAGTTCTAAATCAAATTTCTGTAAAGTTTTGATGGAATCTCGAACATAAGTTGTAGATAATTCCATCAAAATCTTACAAGATGTAACTTTACCAATGGGAACAGGAGTAATTTGGATGTTAAACAATGGATAAACCTGTTTCTTTAGGATAACAGGAAATGTCATTATAATCAAAAAATGAGTTCTTTTCTACTCTATAGAAAGGTTATAACATCAGATTCAATTATGTTAGACTTGCATTTATTAAAGAGATTTCACAGTGAATCAGAGTTTAGTAAAAATGGTCAAAATGAAACGTTTCATATTGACTTTTTTAGTCATTTACAAATAACATGCATTCCAAAATGACAAAGAATGTTTGATTTATAATCCATTTGTCATTTTTCAATTAGATAAATTTTCTATTGCCTCTAGGGCACCCCAAGCCAAAAAGTTGTCATTTTAACAGTTAAAATAATAATAAATTTCATTATTTTATTGCCCTCACATTCGGAGTAAGGCCCATTTACCACAAATTTGAGAACAATATAATAATGAATTCATATTCACTCACACTAAATTTAAATTCATGAGGAGATTTTAAGTTTTATCTAATGATTTTTTAAATTTCAAAAGTTACAACCATTTAAAGTTCCAACCTTCTTAAATGATAATTTAAAATTTACAATCATTTTATTGGATAATTTTATTTTACAATAATTTTATTTGATAATTTTAAATGGTCTTTTTATCTCTAAAAGAATATAGCCATAAAATTTAAACCAAGTATAAAAAAGTAAAAAAAAATTTATTGGTTCAATTCACCTTTGGACTTTGGGAGCAACTTTTTGGGGTATTTTTTTTTCCAGGCCCCAATCACAGTGATTTTATTGCAAGAGTATGATTTAGCATAAACATACCTAAATTTGGAGTTTGCACAATTACTAAATGATTCAAACCTGTAACATCAAAACAATTTAATTGTAACCATGCAATGGCATTTATTCATAATTGGCACACTATACAGTGGCGCAATATGAATTTTTTTGTTGATGCATGTCAAACCAAAAAAAAGAAAAAAAGGTTTCCATGCCTTACTAAATCCTGGAGATTCAAGAAGACATTAAAAAAGGGGCACTACTATCAACAAAAAGACAAACCCGTTAACCCAAGGACCATCACAAAGAAAGTTACAAAATGTCAGTCTTACAGTAGTAATAAAAATTGCAATTCTAATTATGTTAATCAATTTTAATTTTCAATTTAGTTTTAATTACATCATAACTTTAATTTTTAATTTAATGGGTTAATTTGATGTAAAAAATAAAAATTTAAGTGAGATTGTAGGAAGATCTGAAACATTTAAAGAAAAACAAGAAGAAAATGAGCACATGCTAAGACCAGAGACAACACACAAATTAAGGAATGAAGGTAAGAGATTAGGTTTGTTTGGAAAAAAAAAGTCAAAAAGTTTATTTCTTATTAGGAGATTGAGAAAGACAAATATTTTGATCTTTAGTGCCAGCAAATTTAATGATACTAGAGTAAAGCCATTCAATGTGACGAGCATATGTCATATATGTCATAACAACAATATTGGCTAAAGAATGGTGAGAAAGGGTTAGGTCAATTTGATTAGAAATAACATCAGAAAAAAGTTTAGTCTTGAAAAGAAGGAAAAAAAAAAGTACAAAAATGGATAAAAACAAGAATTTTTAACTTATATTTTACTTTTTCATAATATCTACCTTTATTATTCTGAATACAGTAGATAAGTTAAAAGTAAGACATAATTATTGTAAAGTAGATCTCATAATCAACAATAAAAACTAAAAATAATATTGTATTAACATTTTAAACAAGCCGCATTTGCTCTATGTGAATTCTGACTATTCTTTTAATTTGCTTGTAGCATATGCAGACTATTTCATATTCTACATATTCATATTCTACTTCATATTCTAGAGAATATTTAATGGAAAATTGTGGAGTATTGCATATGCCTCAATATTCCATAAATAATTTTGTGGTTACGATCTTAAAAAACTCTTTACTTTGTGATTATACAATATAAAGAGTTTAAAAAACTTTTTTTATGTTTTTTAGTGGATCATTTTTACTTGATCTAATTTTTGTTTGATTTTTGCTTGGCAAAATATTAAACTAAATAATGCTATGAACTTTACATTACCACATTCTGCATAAAAAAAAGTAAACATTACTGTAAAATTTTATTTAAATACCTAAAGAAAATGTTTTGAAATCCACTTGGCCACTGTTAAAAGGTGATGTGTAATTCAGTTTAGGAATATTGAAAACATATGAAAGATCTGTTCCATTGTCTACAACAGCTTTAAAAGTTATCCAACTATTGAGTTTATATCCAGCAACAAAACTGGGACATGGGTTCATATAATCAAATTTTAAATTCATAGCAGGAATCTATAAATTCAAAAATCATATAATACTAATACAATAAAATAGAATAGAAATATATATATATATATATATATATATATATATATATATATATATATATATATATATATACATATATATATATATATATATATATATATATATATATATATACATTGCTATATATATGTAAATATATAAATAAACAAATATCTTTGCTTGTACTTAACCTTGCATTAATGTTATTGATGATATTAAATTGATAAGGGAACTTTGGAATCATCAGTACATACATTAATTGAAGGTTTGTAATTGAGCAGATATTATATGGATATAAAAAACTTTTATTGAAACAAAAAAAAAATCTTTTGTTTCATTATTCTTTGCTTTTTTTTATTTTTCTAAAAAACAACAGTTTGGATTTATGTTGGCATTTTAAGTGCGCAAAATGTATTAGGACAATACCGTATCTAAATACGCAAGGATAACAATATGCATATATATACTCAACAAGAACATTTGGCATGGGACAAATGTGTCACTAAATGATAGCAACACTTGATTTATGAGATAGCGTTAATGTTGGCCAAATGAAGTTTTATGGTACTTATACCGTTTAAGTATTAAACATTATACATTTATAATATAATATATTTATACAAATACTATAAGTATACTTGGCCCACATTAACACCACCAAAGCTATCCCATCAAACACATCTTTGTCATCTGATTTACACCATCTTGTAAATCATGTGTGGCTATCCCATGCGACACACATCAATCTTTCTTGTCAGTTGTTCATTTGTGGATAAAGGTTGTCACTGTTTAAATATACTTCTCATTTACATATAAAACTAGTTACTAACCTGTTTGATTATAGAAAAATTAAGCTGTTGAAATGAGGGAATGTTATTAGAAGCATAAACACTAAAATTGGATATTCCATAATTTAAAGGTGTTTCTATTAAATACTCAAATGGTTTTGATATGAATAATGATATGAAAAACTCAATGCTAGATATAGTGTTTGCTAAGAATGTAACTGTTTGAGCAATCATTTTTCCAAAGTTTTGTTCAGCTTTCATATTTTCATATTTATTACAAAACAAGGTAACATTTCCACCAATCCATATCATATCATCTTCTAAAACATCATTATAAGTATTTTGGATTGGTATTTCAATAATTCCAGTATCATTTACCAAAAAGATAAAATCTAAAGAAATTAGATTTTTTTTTTTTTAAAACATATTTTGATAACAAAAAAATATTCTACCTGAAAGGAAAAAATTATTGGAAAAACAATCCTGTATAAAATTATACTTTTTATATTAATTTATATACAATTTATTATACAATTACATTTATTTCATTTAATATTTAATATTAATTCTTTTAAATATTTAAACCAGAACATTTGTTGGAGCAACAACTGCAAACACAACACTGCACTGACACCTAGTAAGTAGTTTTTAGGTTTTATTGGTGATTAATATTTTTAAATATTACAATTAGTTCATTAATTTTTTTATTTCTTTTTCATTATTCGCATGATCATATGAAGCCTTATGGTGCGTAAATGTCGTAGAGAAAACAAATAAGAGAGCTTATTGTGTGAGTCATATTGAAGGCTATTAACACTCATTTCATTAAAGAGGAGAAGCAACCCATACCAAAGACATAGTGAGAGATGAGAAAATTGCAGTCATAGAAAAACATTAATGGCACATCTTATAAAAAAAGTATGTTTTGGTAGTTGTTTAGTATGTATCTATATATATGTATGTATACGTATAATATATTGTATGTATATGAAACAATGTTTACATATAAAATATTGTATAATTATGAAACTATGTATACATATTGTATGTTTATGTAACTATGTATACATATAACGTATTTTATTTAAATGTAACTATGTATACATATTGTAAATTATTGAATATGTAACCATGTATACATATAATATATTTTATCTATATATAACTATGTATACACATATATACTGTACATATATGTAACTACACATACAAATAACATATTTCATCCATATAAAACTATGTTTACATAAATATATTGTACATATTTGTAACTATGTATACATAAAACATATTGTATGCATTCATAGTTTTATAACAATGTAACCTATGCATACATAAATGTATACTGTATACACATACATGTTATACATATATATATATTATAACTATGTATACGTATATCATATTGTATGTATATGTAGCTATGTATATATATAACACATTGTATTTATATGCAACTATGTGTACATATAACAAGACATTTATATAATTGCACAACTTACGGTATGCAACCATTGCTGTGATTGTTAAAGATGAATTTAGTGTTTGTGCTTCCAATAGCTGTTTCCGAAAACAAGCACCTGTGCAATTGATTTCAGATGGACAGATATCTCTTGTATTTTTGCATAATGGTCGTAAAATCTGAAAATTTTAAAAACTCATAACAAACATACATATTAGGGTGGTTCAATAAACAACATTTTTGAAAAATATCTGCAGCATGTCCCTTAATGTGTACTATATAAAAAAATATCACTGGATTTAAAAAAAAATTAATTATAAATATTTTTGAAGGTTCCTCAAGCCCATTGAACATTTAACAATTCCCTAATATAAATTAATTTTTTTTTTCTTTTATATTAATATTGCCTATTTAGATAATCATATATATGGAATTTCTGCAGATTAACAAGCCATAAATATACCTCTGAAATCAATAGATTAGAGTATTGTCTTTCAAACATGTTTTAATATTGAAGGTTGTTGGCGAACTTTCACTTATATACTAAATAATATCATTATGCAATATGCAAATGTATGAAAGAGTTCAAAATATCAGGCAAACCTCATGGCAAAGCAGCTTATAAACCATTTATCTCAAAATGTTCTGAGGTGTTCAAGCTCCTTTAAGCAATTTGTTTACTACCTCATTCAAAACTGGTGTTTTACCCTTAAGCTGGAAATTAGCAAACATTATTAAAAGGGGACCAAAATTTGACCCATCTTATTATATATTTATGTTAAAAAGCATCTAATTGTTGTCACATAAAGGAAAGAAATATTAAAAATAATAACTGATAAGTTTCATTTTCTCATATTTTGTGGTTATTAAATAGAAAAACTAATTTGAGAAAGTTGATTGAATCTTAATTATGCAGTGTCACATTCCAACATATAGACTAAAAGCACAATAAATATGTTGTGGTATACACATTCTTACAGACATTTTCTATTTTGATTTTAGGAAAGCATTTGATTCGGTTTTACATCCCAAGTTACTAATGAAGTTACTAGCAAACAAAATAATTAGCAATCTTCCGGTTTGCTAATTAGTTAAATGATTTTCTGTACATGAAATCACTAGTGGTTAATTTGATCAAAAATGTTACTTTTTTTGAAAATGTTACTTCCCAAACCAAATCTGTAACAGTCAGTGTTTCACAAGCAAGTGTTCAAAGACCAACTTTGACCTTCTTGTTTATCAATCACGTGAGTTACATTTTGAAGAGCTTGATGTTTAACTTTTTGCTGATGATGTTAAGTTATATTCAACCTATGATGTATGTGATTCTCAGTCTGGCATTCACTCAGCTGTTCATTGTTTATATCCTACAATGGAATTGTACCATCTACAACAGAGTTGTACTTAACAACTTCAAATAGCAAATGTAAAATACTTTATTTAAACAATTGCATCAATCAATATAATTGAAAAAGTTGCATAAATCAAAACTTAACTCATCATATTAATTGTATAACTAAGCATGAAGTTGCTTATGTTAACAGTATTTAAAACCTTTTTTTTAATTCTGATTTACTTGCAATAAAGCTGCAAGCAACAACTATTAAATTAGGAGTTACTAGAAGAAAAAAAAAGAGTTATAGAGCAAGGAAACTGTTGAGGGAAAACTTAAAAAGTTGTAGGTTGTATTACTCAGGAAAATATGAAGATGCAAGAAAAAAAACTAGACAAAGGAAAGTTTTTAGAGCATGCAGGGACAGATACAGTAAAAAATATGACTTTGCAGAATGATGAATCAAGTGAGAATGAGTTCTAGTTGATGGAACTTGGGATGATAGCTCCTTTGAACAGCGACTGTGATAGTATTTGTAGAAATAATGTAAAAAAGTAGAAAAGAAAGAGATGCAACTTTACAACAACAGGAAAGAGACTCAAGCTTAGCCAATAAAGCGAACCCAACTACATTTTTGAACCTTATCTAAGAGAAAGAGCCTTATTAAAAGAACCAGTACAAATATGACAACAGTATTCTATACATGGATAAAAAAAAGATTTGTAGAGTTAAAAAATGGAATCAGAGTATGAAAATGGCAAGCACAATAAAAAGTAGAAGCCTAAGCGGATTCTAATTTAGCAATTTATTGTATATATGGTTTCAATAAAAAGTTACTAGTTAACATTAATCTAAGAAGACATAAAGAAGAGGATTCATTGAGAGGGTTGTCATTTATTAATATAGGAATGTTGACAGCATTGAGAGATGTTTCAAGTAAATAACTAAGTTTTGTTGGAGTTATAATTTACAAGCTACTTCATTCCTTAATTGGTTACAGAAGTGAGATCAGATTCAAGATTAACTGCCTGTTCTAAGTGATCAAAAAAGAAGACTTTTTGTCATGATAGGGATATAAAGTTGAGTAATCAGCAGAAAGAGCCACTTTAAATGAAAGGTTGTTGGGAAGATCATTAATGTAGATAAGAAGCAAAACAGGACCAAAGATAAAACCTTGAGGTACCACAGAAGCAACTGGAAATGAAGAGTGTTGATCATCAAAAACAAAAAACTTTAAAAATTTGCCAGATACACCATATGAAAGAAGGTTATGGAGGGGATCAGCATGCAAAATTTATCTAAAGCGTTAGATATGTCAAGAGCAATAGCTCTAGCCTTTCTGCCTCCACCTAATGCACAATAAAATGTTTCAGTCACAGCAGTTAGCAATTCTGCAGTAGAGCAAGAGGATCAAAAACCATATTTATTACCCAACAGTAAGTTATTTGACTCCAGATGGAATGTAAAAAATGTGTTGATCAAAGACTCAAAGACCTTGCTAATAATAGAAAGAAGACGGATTAGCTATTAATTAGAGAGGTCAGAATCTTTACAGGATTTTTTGAAAATTGGAACAACAGATGCAATTTTTCAACAGGCAGGAAAACAAGACTCAGTCAAGCATTTAATAAATATTTTATATTTATCAAATGAAAGAACTAAACAGTTCTGAAGAACACTTTTGTAAGACTATGAAAAGAATTTCGTCTGGACCACAAGCTGTAGTAGAGTTTAATTGAGATATGACTTTAGCAACTGACGTTAGAGTAAGTTGAATGTCTAACAATTGGTTATCCTGTTTTATTGGAATGGAAGAAAGTGAAAAAATCAAGAGGAAAATAAGAAGAATCATTTTACATGGTTTATTTGTAATAGTAAATAGACATTTGTCCTCAAGAAAGTTGTTTTTCAAAAAAGATGAAAAAATGATTAGCTATAGGAGCTGCACAAGAAGGTAAAAAACATGAAGTAGAAAGAGACTTGACTTGAAACCGAAAAGAAGGAATAAAAGTTTCCATTTCTTCCTGAATCCAGAAGGTTGTGTAGGAGTTACTATTGATAGAAATTTGAAATTTGATCAGCATATTCACCTTTTTGTACGTACTATGTTGATAGTCTATCTTATTCTAAAAGTTTTTTATTCATGAGAAAAATAACTGGTGCTTTAAGCTTACTGTACTTATGTACGACCTATGAATATGATCATGTTACACTATCTGCCAAATTAATAAAATTGAAAAATTAAAACGTTTCTTTATAAAGAGAGTTGCTTGACTGTGGTCAGTATCCTATGATAAGCATCTAGTTATACTCAAGCTCCATTCATTCATAAAGGAAGGTATCTAATTTTTTTTTTTGGATTTTATTTTATTTAAAAAAAAACTAAAAAAGATAAAAAAGATTATCTACTTTCCTGTTGACCTTCTTATTGTGATTTTACTTCCTACAACTTCTTAACGGCAATTTTTGTAATTTTTTGGTTGAATTTGCTTGCTTAGATCCTTAGATTTAGACAGACACGAAAAACTCATATTCATTCTAATGTATTAAATGTTCACCCTTTAAAAATATTTTTCTTTCCTTTGCTAATGCCAAATACAATAGCAGTTTTTTATATCAAAGCAAAAGTTTGGAGCAAAAAGTGTTATTCTGTCTAATACTGAAGCTTATTATTCTCATATTACTAAATACTGAATTAAATTTCAAAAGTGAATCTCATTCAAAATAAGATTACATTTTCTCTTTTATACAAATGTCATTTTTTATTTATTTTTAAATCTTTTTTTATTATTAATATAAAAATTAGCAATTTATATTTAATTTTGTGTTATAACTGGTTGTCATAAATGGTTATATATATATATATATATATATATATATATATATATATATATATATATATATATATATATATATATATATATATATATCTATATATATATATATATATATATATATATATATATATATATATATATATATATATATATATATATA